CATTCTCATTTTGCACATTTCGAGAGTGGTGTGGCGATGCCCTTAGTAAAGCAAAGTAGCTAGTGAAAGGTGAAATTGAGAGAAGGGACCGGTAGGGGGTGGGGAACGCAGCCCGATGAAGCACTACTCGCTGTCCGGAGACGTACTTGCTGTCCGGAGACGGCAGCACTCTGCGTGGGCAGCGAGTTGGGGATTCGGGGTGTGGGGCGGAACTATGTTTTTCCTCTACGACCTCTAGCGCACTCGCTGTCCGGAGACGGCCGCGCTCTGCGTCGGCAGCGAGTTTGGGATTCGGGCTGTGGGCCGGAACAATGTTTTCCTCGATGACCTCTAGCGCACTCGCTGTCTGGAGACGGCAGCTCTCTGCGTCAGCAGCGAGTTTGGGATTCGGGGTGTGGGGCGGAACTATGTTTTCCTCGATGACCTCTAAGTTCGGCCGTCGCCCTCAGCTCCGACAAGGGGCTGTGTCTCCCTGTGGAATACCAGGGAGCAGGGCGATTCCAACTCCTCCTACAACAGACATCCTACGACAGGATCTACAAGAGTCAGGTAACCAGTGCAGTGTGAACACGACGAAGGGAGAGTGAGTCCAGTACGGGACAGCGGGCACATCCAACGGCGGCACCTCTGGAGGCAGTGGGCGGGCAGCCAGTGGTGGTGGGACTGGTGTTGTGAGGAGCACGTGAGAGCTACTGTTGTCCATCTCTACTGGGGGTGTGAAGACCTGAAGCTCTACGGGCGGCGGCGCGACCAATGGGAGTGGGAGCTCCTCTGGTGGTGGTGGGAGCGTCTCCGTTGGAATCAAGGCCGCGGAGTGTTAACTAAGCCACTCTCTCACACGAAATATTTAGTAGAGTGCATTAACCCAGCCATATTTTTTTACTCCTTATGAGTGGCTTACTTCAAGACTATCGTGCACGATATTATCTGGAAATTCTGTCACCCTCTTTCAAGCTCCTCCTGCTATCTGCTTTGGTGTCACTGGCGGCAATCTTGATTGTATTTAGTCATTAGTATTCCGTATCTGGGCGGTATGTTTCGTTTGGTGCACTCTTCCTTCAAGTTTGTTTTCTTCTATGCAAAACCTCGTGTAGTGCAGTCGTTTGCTCATGCTCTGGATTGGGTCGTACGGTTGGGTTGGGTTCAGGCAACCATCCATCCCTCCCTATTCCCATATCAGAGCCTTAGTATAACATACTAATTCCAAAATTGCGTGTATCGTTTAGCCCACCGAATCTTACCTAATCTAGAGGCTATTTCAAGGAATCTTCACTGCAGGCTCTTGGCTTTAGGTTGGTTGGTAAATGTCGAAGGTTGGGGGTTGTGCGTAGAAGGCAACGGAACGATTGGAGGTGGTGGGAGACCTAATAGTTGTGGAGGTGGCAGGAGAGACCTAGTAGTTATGGGAACGTTGCTGACCTGCTGTGGCACAACTGAATAGCATTTAGCTGTCAAGAGAGCAGACTTGGGTTGCACCCATTGAGATATAGGGTGCCTGGGAGATGGCAGTTTTTACAGAGGTCCAAGGGTGCAACGTGGGAAACCTCGTCACGACGGCAACCCAGGCTCCCCACGACTACTAGCGGCTGCTCTGTCGGGCCAGTATTGGTGCTGTATTCCTTTGGTGGAAATTACGTGATGTGCTTGTTGGGCGATGCAAATCCTTTTCTTCAGCTCTCCAGATTCCTTTCTAGTTCACAATCTGTTATTTGGCTTTGTTCATTAGGGTTTCGTCATACCATGATTGGTATAATTTCAAGTGGCCGTTTGCCATTTTCTGGCCATCTGCATAGGCTGGACTTATAGGCTTGCTACAGATTTTTCGAACATGGAATTTTGAATTGGTGACAGATTAAGGGTGCTGTCTATTTAGACATTTCATATTACAATCCCATAGGGATAGCTGTGGCTGGTTTCTCAGCTCTTGGGCGTGGGTGGTCCCACTAGCAAAGAGGATGCCTGCATCTGGACGTGTTTGTAGAGAGGTGCAGGAAATCGAGAGTGAACTGCTTTTCTGCATCTCTGCATAAAACACGTCCAGATTCAGGCATTCGATCCGATCCTCTTTGCTAGTAGGACCTCAGCTGTGGTGCTTCACGCTTGGAAATGCATTTGAAATCGTTCTAGGTTGCCAGATAGGAATTAAGACTTTTTTTTTTTTTTTTTTTTTTTTTTTTTTKAGAAGCTTYTTTKAGATAACAGTGAGAAAAARACCCGGTTTCCAGTTCCGCCGAAGCTGGGTACCGGGTAATGGCCCCAGTATGTTCGTCCGGGTTGAATTGTGAGGTCCCCGGGCCGAGGTCCCACTAGCAACGAGGATCGGATCGAATGCCTGAATCTGGATGTGTTTTATGCAGAGATGCATAAAAGTAGCTCAATCTCGATTTCCTGCACCTCTCGACAAACACGTCCAGACTCAGGCATTCGATCCGATCCTCTCTGCTGGTGGGACCAGGCCCCCGGCCTCTTCTGAACTTCTGTTATTTGTAATAGAGGTGACCGACTTCTCAAAAAAAAAAACGGAAAAATAAAAGGAGCATAGTTTATGGGCCTCGCTGCACTACTCTCGAAATGTGCAAAACGAGAGTGAATCTTCCGCTAGAATACGGAAAGATACAGCGCCATGATTTGTGTCTGTTGTGCATGTCGAGAGTAGTGGAGCGCGGTCCCACTAGCAACCTCGATTGGATTGAACGCCTGAATCTAGACATGTTCCCGGAAACGTGCAGAAATTCGAGATTGAACTCCTTTTCTGCATCTCTGCCTAAAACACGCCCAGATTCAGGATCTTAATCCAATCCCCGTTGCTAGTGGGACCATGCTCCAGAAGTCGACGAGATTCAGTGACACTGTTTTCTTTTTCTTTTTCTTTTTTTTAACAGCACGGAATTTTCATTGCATTTGGTGAGGCGAATGATAAAGTGAGGACAAAATGAAAGAAAAAGAAAAAAGAAAAAAGTACCGAGCGAGGACCTGCGGCTGTGAGGCCAAACCAAAAAAACAAAAAAAAAACGAAAAAGATTGGGCAAGAAAAGGAACCAAAAATAAAGAAAAGGGAACGAACAAAAACTCAGGACAAAATTTCAAACAAAACCAAGAAAGAATAGAGGAAAAAAAAAAAAAAAGGAAAAGAAAAAAAGAAAGAATAGAGCGAGGTGAGTATCAACTCGCACAGCAAAAATGATTATCACAAAAAAAAGAACAGAGAGAGGGTCTGCGGCTGAAATAAAAAAAAAAAAAAAAAAAAAAAAACTGGGCACCAAAAGGAACAAAAAGAAAAAAGTTTTGCAAGCGAAGTACAACGGACGGGATAAAAAAAAAAAAAAAGGAAAATGTGAAAACGACAGACACTAGGGGCGTGGTCCCACTAGCACAGAGGATCGGATCGAATGCCTGAATCTGGACGTGTTTGTGGAAAGGTGCAGAATGTCGAGATTGAACTGCTTTTCTGCATGTCGCTTAAAACACGTCCAGATTCAGGAAATTTATCCGATCCGCTGCGCTAGTGGGACCTCGCTCTAGGGGAAAAACATTCAAAAAAAAAAGGCGACGGCGACCGTGCCCCAGAGATAGCGCCTCGCTCTACTACTCTCAAAATCTGCAAAACGAGAGTGAATCTTTTGCTGAAACAAGGAAAGATGCACCGCCACCGCCATGTTGTCTTTTGCCTATGTCGAGAGTAGTTGAGCGAGGCCCATACACATACGTAATGACGGCATCGCCATACCACTCTCGAAATGTGCGAAATGAGAACGAACTTCCCGCTAGAACACGGCCAGATGCACCCGCTACATTTGTCTTTTCACGTTTCGAAAGTGGTGTGGCGGTGGCCTAACAGTTGATAAAAACCGCAAAACAAAACAAAAAAAAAAACGAAAAAAACAAAACAAAGAAAACATAACAAAAAACAAAAAATGCAGATCATCCCCATGCGGTTCAAGAAATAATGTTAGGTGCTCAAAGTCGTAGAAAGACAAGAGGGAAAATAAATAAATAACTAATGTAAAACGCTTTCCAAAATAAATAAATAAATAGCTCACTACCCACAAAAGAAATAGACGGGTATTCCAAGAAAAACATAAAAAAAAATAAACGGCTACTCACTACTCACACTACCAATTTCCATATTCGTATCTGAACGTAACTAGGATCAGATACATCCAGGGTCGACCGAATTGCGCCCAGATACATTACAGAAAGCCCAGTGTGAGTACGATATAACACGCACACGCAAGTCCGGAAGAAGAAACATTCTTCCGCAGTCTCCTTGTCCATATGCAACTCTGTCTGAAGAAAACTCTCTCTCTCTCTCTCTCTCTCTCTCTCTCTCTCCCACACACACACACACCC